TAGGTGATGGGAGACAGGTGTGTTCAGCGGTAGGTGATGGGAGACAGGTGTGTTCAGCGGTAGGTGATGGGAGACAGGTGTGTTCAGCGGTAGGTAAAGGAACACCATTCCGCAGCAGGAGTCCTGACAGATACACCTGCATACAGCGTGACGTGAGTGGGCCTCAAACTCATGACACTACTAAAGGAGTCGGACTCAAAGACAACACAGTGTACAATTCTGTTTATATGAAATGTCTGGACGAGGAAAACCCACAGGGTCAAAGGCAGCCAGCACAGCCTGGAGCCAGAGTGGGAACAGGACGAGCTGTAACTGGGCAAGGGGGCTGCACAGGAATGACAGCAACATTCTGGGACTGGACTGTGCCTGGCCAGGCTGCACCGCTCTAAATTTATTAAACAGAACTAAATAGTGCACTAAAAATGGGTAAACTGTGTGGCAATACAGTTTTTTTTTAAGGACATATGTTAATTATAGAATATGTAAATTATGCACCATTAAAATTTTTTTAAGAGCATGTTGAGGAGCTGACCCCCTCTCAGTTGGCCTCATTAGTGTTAGAAGTACAGTGTCCCAATGTCCCAGCAAACTGGAATGGTTGGTTCCTCCTCAAGTTGCTACCTTTTGTGTAAAATGGGAAAACCCCAAACCCAACATTTACTGTTTTCCTTAAAAACAATGAAGTTGGATGCCTCCAGTGTGGACCGGGCAGAAGAGATAAGAGAGGAAGTGAAACGTCTGAGTGAGGGTTTGGCATAGTTCTGACTAAGGGTCTACAGACTTAAAAAGTAAGTCAACAAAGATAGGAAATGTTGGGGGCCGTAGACCTAAGGGAAGACTCAAAAAATGAACCCAATTATATTTCAAATAGAAAACCTAAACTACACGGAGGGGAAAGAATCCAAGTAACCCACACGGATGCACAATGCAATAGCTGCCCTTAACTTGGGGCTGGACACAGGTCAGGGGGAGATATGCATACAAGCCTGGTTTTCACACCAATGGGAGAAAAAGCAGTTCTAAAACTATTTTAGATACAGGATTGAGAAACTGAATAAACTGATCATTGGGGGATTCAAGATTTTGAAAAGGGGGCACAGAAATGGACTGGAGAAGCAGAGAAAGAGACCTGTGAAAAGGGATCACAACTGCAGGGACGGGTGTGAACTCCTGACTCTAAAATCACAGGGTGCGCATGAGCACGTGTGACCACGTGTACACATATTGGTGTACACGCACCATCATCCTCAGATGCCTGCGGGGATTTGGTCCTGGGATTCTCCAGGGAAACCAAAATCCACAAATGCTCAAGTCCCTTACATAAATGGCCTGGTGTCTGCATGGAACCCACGCACATCCTCTCATATGAATTGTCTTTACATTACTTATAACAAATACAACGTAAATGTTACATAATTAGTTGTGCTGTACTATATTTTTTATTGCTGTTTCATTTTCTTCTGAATACTTTCAGTTCCACGGTTGAATTCAGAGAGCAGAACCCCCAGATGTGGGACCCAGGGATACAGAGGGCAGACTGTGCACGGGGGATTGGCCTGGAGCAAACAGCCAGAGGGATGAGCAGACCAGCAGGCACAGCTGGGCTCTACCATCATCCCGGGGTTCCACAGAGAATTGCTCATTCAGCTCTTGGAGTGACGTGTGTCTACACTAGGTGCTTTAAACAAAATGATCGAGGATGCCAAGGACAAGGACAGAGGAGCCAGTTCGCAGTTACTACTGGTCAAAGCTAAGACAATTTAAGCTATATATAGTAAAATTGAGCTCTCTATGTGATTATATATACCACTGGGGGAAAGCATAGATACATGCTTTTCTATTTTTTCCCCAGTGTTTTTTATCGTTATCTTGCTTTCGGTCTCAAATCATCTTATATTTATGCTGTACCATCAATGTAGTATTGCAAGCATGTATGACCTCGATCTAATCACGAGGAAGCCCAGAAAGAGAAACATTCTACTAAAAAGGGCAAGGGGAGAGAAAACCATATTCAAAACACGGCACTGTCATAATAGACAAAGGCAGCTGTGGAAACGACCCAGGGTGAGGGGGTCGTAAAGGAGGAAAAGGAACAAGTAAACGATACAATTAAAAGGGTACAATCTGAACAACAGGCGAATCTGCGTAAAGGGAATACGGATATTCTTGGTACCGTTCTTCCAAATTTTCTATAAATTTGAAATTATTTCTATATAAAAAGTTTAAAAAAATAATTATCAGGGACTGAAACTGCTGACTTCATGTTCTACCTAATAAGGTTATTATAACACAATCCGTAAAAACTAATACGTATCATTTAGTTTTAAAAAAGTGTGAGATGGGGGTATTTTAAACAATGATAATATCCAAATAAAGAGTGATCCTTTAAAATGAACAAATTCAGATTTGTGGGAAAAGAAATACCAGTCCTCCTTAAGTCTCCTTCTCTGTGGGCAGGAAAGGTCTGTCCTGTCGCTATCTGAGAACTCACATCCTCAACACAAGCCATGTTTTTTGGCACGGGCAGTTCAGTGGAAAGACATGGAATCCGGACACCAGGGAATTTAAATCCCGGCCCTGGCTGTCTCCAGCTGTGTGACCTAAGCTCTCTCAGCTTCTGCAATTGCAAGGCGGATAACGAAGCTCTAAGACCGTCGAGGGGATTGTTAACACACAGAGTTAACCCTGCCTGACGCACAGAAGGCGGCTGACAAACGCGTCTCCTCTTCTTTTTCTCTGGAGATGAATCTGATTGGACCCACACCGGCCCTCCCTTGACAATCAGCCCTCCTGGAAGGCTAAGAAACAGAAGCACTCTAAGAATAAGCCTCCTTGCTGCAGGTGTGTTTCGTGAAAATGGAAGCCAGAGACACTGGATGGTGAAAGGGAAAGAGAGAAGA